CATGTAGAATCTGAAAAATATTATTAGCAGCCTCACGATCCCACACCCATACTAATTGGAACATCTGGAGAAAAAGATTCCAACAAACAGCAGCATATGGGCAGAAAAAGAAGACATGATTTAAGCTTTCTTCATTTTCTGCACATAAAAAGCAAATGGATGGCTGTAAAGCCAGCTTTGGAGACTTTCTCTGCAAAATATCTGCTGTATTGACTTTGCCATATAATAGAATCCAAATTAACATATTAACTTGTTTTGGGCTGCCCGAACTCCAAAGAGAGAGTAGAAGAGCTTTTGAAACCCGCAAATCAGCTCTTTCAGACTTGCACAGAGAAGAAACGGAGAAGAGGCCCGACTTTTCCAAACTCCAACAACGAACATCATCATTTTCTGAAATAGTAACTGAAGAAATGCAAGAAAGAAGCTCCGAAAGCTCCAAAATCTCCTCATCTTTCAATGCCCAGTATGATTGAATCTAACTTAGCTAATGATCAATCCTATGGTTGGGCAGGTTATTCTCTGAATTCTAAGCTGAGAAATCTAAAGTCTTTGCTTCGAAGTTGGTACTTGCAGAATGAAAAAAGTAAAAAGGAGTCATAAACAAGAATTCTCCAGCAAATTTCTTCTTTGGATTCCAAAGAGGAAGACTGGATTATCTAATGAGGAAGCTAAAAAGAGGAGTGATCTCCAAGTGGATCTGCTGATGCTATATGTGGATTCCGAAAGGAATTTGTTCCAAAAAAACAAGATTCAATGGCTGAAGGAGAGAGATGAAAATTCTAGCTTCTTCCACAAATATTTAGCAGCTCGCAAGCGAAAATCGGTTATTTTCGAGTTGATTAATGAGTACGGTCAAACGTTAGTCAATCAGAAAGATATAGAAGAAGAAATTTTTACCTTTTTCGAAAGGTTATATTCTGCAAACAGTGGTCCCAGATTTTCTCCAAGAAGGATTAATTGGCGACCCATTTCCTCATTTGATCGGGTATGGCTGGAACGTTGCTTTGAAGAATCAGAAATAAGGTTGGCAATTGGCATTAGATGATCTTGGCAAAAACAAAGCACCGGGTCCTGATGGATTTACCTCAGAATTTTATATTTGGTTTTGGCAGTCACAGAAAGCTGATTTTTGTCCGGTTATTCAAGCAATTTCATATAAACGGCCACATTAATGCTTGCCTTAAGGAGAACTTCATTTGCCTTGTTCCAAAAAAGGCAAAGGTATCAAAGATTCGGGACTTTAGGCCAATAAGCCTTTGTTCTTCTATTTATAAGCTACTGGGGCTGGCCAAAGTTCTAGTAGAGCGTCTTAAGAAGGTTATGCCTTCTACAATCTCAATTAATCAAAGCGCCTTCATTGAAGGTAGRWWYATTCTTGACCTGATCTTGTTAGCCAATGAAGCAGTGGAGGATTATAAGGCTCGGAAGAGTAGTGGTTGGTTGTTAAAGCTAGACCTTGTAAAGGCATTTGATAAGGTTGATTGGGCCTTTTTAGAAGATGTGCTTACACAAAAACAGTTTGGGAAGAAATGGCGTAGATGGATCAGTGGCTCTGTAAGAGGAACTAAGTTCTCCATATTTATTAATGGTAGACCTAAGGGTCGTATTTTGGCCTCTAGGGGTTTGAGGCAAGGTGATCCTCTTTCTCCTAGTTGGGGATGTTTTCATAGCATCTTGGACAGTATTCACATGGGATAATTCTTTGAAGGCTTTTTGGTTGGAAAGGATAAGAGTCACATTCCCCACGTGCAATTTGCAGATGATATCCTCTTCTGTAAAGATGATGATGGTATGTTGGATAATCTCATTCAGGCTAATCAAAGTTTATGAAAATATGTTTGGTTTTTCTGTTAAATTGGGAGAAATCAGCAATATGTGGCATTAATATACAATCTGGAAAAGTTTGTCAGATTGCAGATTCCTTGAATTGTCAGATTGCTTCCCTTCCATTCTCGTATTTAGGGCTTCCCTTGGGAGGAAATCCGAGATCAGTTGCTTTTTGGAGCACTATTGTGGAGAAAATTGAAAAAAGGTTGGATAGGTGGAAACGGTTTCAACTCTCGAGAGGAGGTCGCTTGACACTTTGTAAGTCTTGTCTTATCCAACCTTCCGCTTTATTATATTGAAGAAGCTCCACAAAAGACTATTCTAACCAAAGCAATCTTTATTATCCAAAAGAAATGCAAAATAATGAAAAAATTATACACACACACACACACACACACATATATAATCATTTAAAATAAAAACACCAAAGTCCACAATGTACCAGGCATTTAGGTAGTGAGTTTGATGTTGATAACTCTTGGCTAACACTTGCATTCTGTTGGATGATTCGTTTTAACCTCTCAGTTATATCATTTTCATTGCTGCAACAGGAAAAAGAAAATTTTTAAAAACCATTTATAAATGCCACCTTGAGATGGTTTACAAATGACAATATGATGTCTTAAAAAAATATACAATCAAAAACTTGAATTTCATTGTGGTTCAATATATGTGAAGGAAGGGAAGGAAAGAAAAAGAACCTTTGTGAACCATCCATAATTACAGAAGGACGGATAGCTATAGGAGGCACTGCAACGTTAGTAATGATGAGATTATCAGGCCTATCTGATAGAAAGAGTAACTCACAGTCCTGCACAAAGGAGGATGTCATGAAAATAAAAATGGAATGCAATGAAAGTAAAAGGAAAATAATATGCGTCACACCTAGAGAAGTTATGCAATACACAACTCATTTCAATGGCCACAACGATCGAAGCAAGYGACATTAGTGAGTTTTTTTTAACAGGAAACAACTTTTCATTGATATATATGAAGAGAAATAAGTGTCATTGATGAGTGCGTTAATATAAAGAAGATCCTAAATACTATCAATGTATACCTCATCTGTCATCCTTTTAAAAAGAGAAAGAACTCTAAAAGGGTTCAAAATATCATTCGACACATTATAGGGTGCTCTAAGATCCTCTGATACCATCCCCGCATCCTTGGATTTCACACGATAATGTAGTATTCCCAACATAGATACAGCCTTCTTCACCGAACCTACAATAGAATCATAAAATATATGGCTAATAATTATTGATCTCAAAACCAGAATGTACACAGCTGTCATAAAGACATTAAAATCAGCCACATTCACCTCAATGATACATGCTCTACTCTAAAACGTGTTCTCATAATGATGGAAACACATATTAATGAAACCTTTCTTTCATCAAAATATATACAAAGACTTGCACTAATATGCAAATTTCTTGGACACCTTAAAATGCAATGCATGCTGACAATGCCAAATAACATCCACKTATACACAGAGATCTAAGATAAAGAGCACTTAAAACATTTTTAACCCAATTCTAATCCAGTATAAAATTGTGTTTGTAACAGAGCTCACAGAAGAAATATAGGATCCCATATTACCCACAAGAAAGGAAGTACAAAATACAGCAGACTTTCAAGAGGTTTACACCCTCCCCACTTCCTACGACTTCAATCTTCAATCATACCCTTTTCTGTCCAAAAACATTTGCACATCCCTACACATTCTATTACAGTGTTTTTTGGTCAAATGCAGTAAGTGCTTTTAAGGAGGGGAAAAAGGCACAGCTTACTACATCTTTATGGTGCCCTAAACAGAAGAAATTTTTTCTGTAATTACAACTTATCTTTTATCCTTCAAGATTGGAAGGCCTTAATGTTAGAGATTTGGGAGTGGGTCTTTCCATCCCCACCTTTAGGTTGTTTCTTTTATATTGTGTTAATATATTCGTTTCTTATCTTATATAATCAAATCGTTATACATCCGTTTCTTATCCAAAAAAAGGAAGAAAAAATAAGGGCACGAAATAGAAGGCAGATGAGGAGTTTTAGAGATGCTAATTTTTTTAAGAGATGAGGCAGATGAGGAGTTTTAAGCGAAAAAACAAAAAACCAAAAAAAAAACCAGTCAGTTTTCTGACCTCGGAAACCAGTCCTATATGTAAGAAGTTAAAAAATATGAAAAACAGGATATATTCCATCAAGGACAGCAATTGTAGCTTGTCAGCAATCTCACCACTCGTTCTAACACCTAAAAGGAGCTCCATCTGACTGAGGGGCCAACTTCTTGTTCCATTGGGCTACCAACGAAGACTTGTAGTACGAGTGTAGCTTGAGGCAAACCATGTCCTCAACTTGATAGGTTGCACCCCTTCAATGCTTGTCAGAATCTCTTGGGCCTTGTTGGCAGCTTAAGTTTAAGGTCACTGACAACTGTGCCTTGTTCTTGCAACAACTGATCTATAGAGGACTACTCATATCAGATCAAAGGTAGTGGTGGTGGCTTGCCATATATCAATTTCGAGGGAGTGATTTTAGTGATGACATGGTATAAGGTGTTTTATCAATATTCTACCTGAGTCACTCATTTAATGTCTTTGGTTTCTTAGAAGCAAAGCATCTCAAGTATGTCTACAAACATCTATTACCTACCTCATATTGTCCATCCAAGTTGCAAACATGGTGCTTCACTTGAGACTAGTCCCTTGTAACTTCAAAAGCTCCAACTGGAACGCACTCATGAACACAGGGTTAGTTGTCCCCATTAAAAACTCATGCACCCTTATTACCTCTAATTAATAAGCGAGATAGCTTCGGCTCCTTTCTACATAGCAATTAGCCCATCCCTCCCACCAATGTAGCAATGTTCTCCATTTTCAAAACCCTTGAAAGCTCCTCAACCCACCATTGGTAGTGATGTAGTGTTTTAGTTGTTATTTTAAGGTTTTCCTTTAAGATGTAGCTTTCAAGCTTTGTTCTTTATTTAGTTATTAGTTACTACACAGTAACTAGTTTTTACTGTTTTGTGAGTTGTTAGCCAAACTCTATAAATAGAGGCTGATCTCTTAATAAAAGATATCTTTCATTCTCTTCAAGAAACCATTGTGTTTGTACATCAAGTTGGTATCAGAGCACCCAAATTTCTGGGCACCAAATGGCGGGAAAAAAGTCGATCACCGATGACTCTTCCCTCATCAACAAAGAAATGGAGCAGCCCTCCATTCTCTCGCCACGATCGTCAGCCGAACGCTTGCTGTCGGTTGAAGGGGAGGTGAAAGCCATCCAATAGGATGTTGGCGAGATTAAACACATCTTGGAGATTATACATGAGAAACTTGATGCTTTAAGTGTGGAACGATCCCCGGTCCGACGCACCACGGGACAACAAGAAAGATTGGATCAAGAAGTACAGAGGGA